AAACAACAAACTAATAGAGAATAACTAAAAACAAAAGTTGGGTGGAAGTCTACAAATGGAAGACAAAAATGGCACTAGGCGAGTTTCCCATTTTTTTTAACTGCTATTTATTGGTGACACAAACTGGCTTAAAGTATGAGGACAGAGTCCAAGGAGACCACAAAAGCTCAACAATAGAATATCTAGGAAAGAAAAAGCTAGAGGTGAAACCGCCTCCAGGCTCTAGGTTGTGTTCTGATGGTATCTCTCCTTCACTCAACCTAGTCTGATACTTGCCCCGGTTTCTCTCACCAGCTGCTGGCTGGGTCCTTTTCCGCCCTCTTGGTGACAGCGTACATGGAGGCAGGTTCAGGTAGGGCCAAAGAGCTGCAAAGCCAGACTGTTCTCTGGGAGAGCGGGCTTTGCCCGCACCTACACCAGGGATTACCCAAGACACCGCCAATCAGCAGCACTGGTACCAACCCACCTATTGGCCATCAGACGCTTGCCCCGGGGCAGCCCCCGACTCCCTTTCCCAATGGAAATGTCACCCACGCTCTGAGCAAGATGCTATTATCATTCCCATTTTGCGGATGAACAAACTGAGTCTCAGAGATGCTGAATCATCTACCCAGGGTCACATAGCTGATAAATGGCCAGGCTGGCATTTGACCTCAGCTCTATGCCCGGGCTGCTGCCCACCCAGCTACTGCTGACACCTCCTCCTCCTCCTCCCTGCCCCTCATCCCCTTCATTGGTATAAAACATTTTTTAAAAATTAGCCAGGCGTGGTAGCACATACCTGTGGTCCCAGCTACTAGGGAGGCTGAAGGCTGAGGCAGGAGGATTGCTAGAGCCTAGGAATTTGAGGCTGCATTGAGCTATGATGATGCCACTGCACTCCAGCCTGGGTGACAGTGAGACCCTGTCACTAAAAGAAAAAAAAGTACCAAAGTGAAAGCAGTAGAGCCCCCCAGTCTCTCACCCTTTGAGTGAGACCCTCTTGGCTCTGCTGTGGCTGGACTGGGGACCCTGAGGACCCTCAGCCTCTGCAGCCGCCTGTCTCTCTACTCTCCCCACTAACCTCGTTCACCCTGCTCCAGCCACCTGGCCTCCTTGCTGCACCTCCAACATGCCAAGCTCGTTCAAACCTCAGGGCCTTTGTAGGGGCTGAGTCCTCTTCTTCCAGACTGGCTGGCTCCTTTCATTCTCAGCCCTCATCCCTGTCCCTGTCCCCCTCTCCCCACAAGGGACATCAGCTCCACAGGGCTTCACGTGGTTCACTGCCAGACCCAGTGCTTCCCAACACAGGTACTTCCTAAATGTGTGCCAAATGAACAATTGAGTGACTGACAGACAGGGGTGGGAGAGAGGCGGGGCCCAGTGCAAGGCAGAGGAGGAGTCCCCAGGGTGTGGCTGGTAGGACACGATCCCTCTTCAGACACACCATCATGGGACCCTAGACCAAACTTTGGCTTCAGGAGTCCAGGCAGGGGTAGGGAGTGAGAGCAGAGCTGAGCTCTGGCCAGTTCAGTGTGAGTGACAGCATCATATTAACAAAGGTATAGAGTCCAGACTGAGGGAGGGGAAAGGCCTCCTCTATGCTGCTCTGGGCAGATCCAGGCTGGGTCTGAGGAGCCTACTCAAGGGTGGAAAGAAAGCCCATGCAGAAAGGCCTGGGGAGGGGAGGGACAGCCACATAAGGGAGTAGGACCCCGTCCTTGAATTATCCAAACGGGATTCAGAGACGCTGGTGTTCCCTTCATCCTCACGGAAGCCCTTGCTCCCTTAGCTCCCAGCTCGCCGCCCTCCCACCACTGCCTCCCAAGCTCCCCGGGGCCTGCTTCTCCAAAGCCCGCCCGTGCCACACCTCCTCCACATGCGTGTCTAGCCCACCTGCGTGCCCAGCGGCAGCCCAATTTCCAACGGCTGGAAACAGATTGCTGACTCGTATCTAAGCCCTCTGCGCAGGCTGTGGCTACTCACACCTCCCCACGGTCCACCCACGCCTCGCGCATCCACGTGGCCACCTGGTCCAGCCCATCAGCCGTTGCTTGCTTGGACCAGTGCAGCCCCCTCCACCCTGGTCCTCTAACTCCTGCCCTCGACCCCCTGGGCCCCGGACAACCACTCAAATGCCCTGTTCAAGGCCAGCAGGCTGGCTCTGCCCTCTTCCAGACCTCGCCACCCCAGCCTCACCGTTCCTTCCTGGCTCTGCTATTTTGTCCACTGGTCTCTCTGCCTGCTTAACTCCTACTCATCCTTAGCAACCCAGCCAGCTGTCACCTCCTCCAGGAGGCCTTCCCTGACTTCTCCCCAGGCTGAGACAGGAGACTCCGCTGGGCTCCCTCCCCACCACCCTAGGCATGGCTCCGTGATATTTTAATAGCCCCTGCTTCCCTGGTGCATACTCCCAGCTGGGCATCCGTTTGGCTCAATTCCTTTACTTAGGATGAGGGTGACTGCTATTATTCCATTTTACAGGCAGAGAAACTGAGCAAGTGGATGGAGGTGAAGTCACTAGCCTCAAGGCACTGAACTCAACCTGGCAGGACAGGGTTGAAGGCAGGTTCAAGCCCTGGCAGTGGGAAAGGGAACAGCCTGTAGTGCCCAGATAAGAGAGGAACAAGCCAACATGCCCCACAGCGCCTGCCTTCCTGTGTCCTCCCGAGGGTGGGAGGAGGGGACCTTGGCCCACTCCTGCTGCCAGAGACAGTCATCCCAGCGGCTCCTGCGCCAAGCGCTCACTCTGTGCCAGGTGGGCCAATCGCACACTTTATTCAACCTGCGGACAGCCCTGGCCGGGAGGTGGGTGCTGTTCTGAATTTCTCAAAGGAGGATATGGGAGGCCATGGTCCCTGAACTTCCATCTAGTGCTGGAGCCCTCCCCCATTCCCTGGGGGGTGGTGTATGTGGCTGCCACCGGAATCTGCCAACCTCTTTCCTAGCCAGCGCTTCCTTTGATCCAGTAACACCCCCAGGGGCAAGTCCTAACGATCCATTTTACAGATGGGCCAAATGAAGCTCAGAAACCTCTCCCCGGGGGACACGGGGCCCAGGTGTGCTGCGTGAGGCTCCTGGTAACACCTGCGGGCCCACATTTATTCGCAACAGCTGTTCCTGGAAGGGAACCAATTTGAGGCTGGGCAGGCTGAAGGTTTCAAAGACGCCTCCACAGTCCGATTTTTATCTTGGGGCAGGCCCCGTACAACGGGTCCAGGTTGCTCCAGCGGGGCCGCCCTGGCCCCCATGCTCAGATGCCTGGGACCTCACTATGGCTCAGAGTGGGGTCTCGGGGGGGCCTTTCTCCCATCTTATGGCATCTCGTAGGTTTTGCAAGCCGGAGCTGCTACTCCCAAGTCCCCCCGACCCAGCACTAAAAGGCCGCTCTATAATCCTGCCTACCCGGGACAGAAACCTGCGTGCGCTTTCCCTCGTGCCCCACTTGCAAGCGGGCAGGGAATCTAGCTGATGTTCTGCCAAAGTGATTCCCCCATTCGCCCACTTCCTATCACGCTCCAGCGGGGGCCAGGCCAGCAGCCTCCTCCCAGATCTACCCACTGCGGCTACTGAGATTTTCTTCTTAAGACACAATCGGATCACGCCACTCGCCGTCGCCTTGAGAATGGATTCCGCGCTCCCCTCCCCACCTCCGATCCTCCCTCTGCGCCTTTCGGCCACGTTGGCCTCTTTTCTGCTCGGCAAACCCTCCGGGCTGGGCCCTGCCCCGGGATGTCGCCGTTTCCTGGGCCTAAAAAGCCCAAGCTGGCTGGCGCAATCAGCCCAGATGACACCTTCTCCGAGAACCCCTCCCTGACGCCGGTCTCCACACCTCCATCCTTGCCCGGGCTGCCTGAAGCGTCTTCCCAGCGCTCAGCCGGGGTTGGAATGACGTATTTCTCTGGCTAAGGGGTTCTCCGAAGCCGTCTACGCGGGCCGGGCTGCGGGCTCTCAGGCCAGGGGCCCCGGCTGTGTCCCCAGGCCCCGCACGTCGGTGGCACCCAGTAGGCGCCCACACGCCCGTGCCGCTCCGGCCGTCTACACTGCCGGATTCCCCCGCGTCACGCGGCTGGGATCGCCCCCTCTCCTCCGCCCCGCTTCGCAGCTGCGTCCTCTGGCACCCGCGGCTGCGCCCGGGCCCTCGGGAGGATCGGGGCTCTCTCGGGGAGGCGGGCCGGGCTCCGGACCGGATGGGGAAGCCCCGAGAGGGCAGTCCCTGCGGGGTGATGGGGCCGGAGCCCAGCTGCGTCTGGGGGCCGGGCCGGGGCCGCCATGGCCGTGGAGGCGGGGCCCGAGCCCGCCTGGAGGGTGGCGTTGGCGACCCGCGGCGCTCGCTTACCTGGGGGCGCGGGTGGCCGGGCGCACCGAGCGCCGGCGGCGGATCCGGAGGAGAAGCAGACACGCGCCGCCGGCTCCAGGCAGCCGGACTCTGTTCCGGGCCCTGCCTCGGCCCCCAGCTGGGGACATAAGGCTGGAGGGAGGGGGCTCGGGGCGGGGCCTGGAGAGGGCTGGGCGGGGCCGGGCGCTGGGGCCTCTCGGCGAGCCCAGGCCCCTCCCCGGACCCCCAACCAGCCTCGCCGGGCCCCGCCCCCAGCCCCGCCCACGGCGCGCCTGACCCGGCGCAGCTGCGCGTCTCCGCTCTGCGCGTTACCGCTCGCCCTGAAACCCTGCGGGTCTGCGGCGCGCCCAGTCCGCCCCGGCTTCTCCCCTGCATGTCCTCCGAGACCCCGTCCTCGGTCCCCGCTTCCATCCGGGAAGCTCTGGCCCCACTCATCTGCCCATACTCCTGGGGCGCACTGCTGGGTGTCGCGGGGCGAGGCCCAGACCCCACCGCTGACCTCACTGGCCACCCCAGGTGCCCCAAGTCTGGGGACCTGTTTGCGGGCCGAGGCGCGCGCAGGGCCCAGCCGATTACTGGGCGGCGAGGAGGGCAGCCGGGCAAAGGCTACGGCTTGGGCGGGGCGCGGGGTTCAGGCGGCAGCGCTGGAGAGAGAAAGCCGGGAGATAGGCCGGCGTGGGTGGCGGCGCAGCCTCGGGTTCGGCCCAGGGAAGCAGGGGAGCGGGCTGGGTCCCCCCTTGTCACGTGGAACCGAAAATGACCTGCGATCAGTAGTGAATACGGGACAGTCCCAGGGGGTTCCAGAGCCACGCTGGCCAACCGCGGGTGTGAAATGCGGACTATAAACCTCCCGAGTCAGCTCAGCAGCAGACCCAAGGCCTGGAAGGACGGGGAGGGAAGTCGGGGCTTTCCCGGCTGTGGAGTTCTAGGAACGTTGCTCAAACTCACTGAGATTTAATTTCCTCACATAAGAAGGGGAAGGGACACAGGAGGCCTCTGTTGCAAGCGAGGAAGAACCTGTCCCTCAGAGTCTAGCCTCCTGGCCTTTGCACTTGTCCTTCCCTCTGCTAAACTGTTCTTTTCCTCGCTTTTAAAAATTTATTTACTTATTTATTTATAAAGACTGGGGTCTTGCAGTGTTGCCCAGGTTGGCCTCAAACTCTTGGCCTTAAGCAATCCTCCCAAGTAGCTGGGACTACAAGCGTGCTCCACCACACCCCACCAATTTTTATAAGTCTTTTGTAGAGACGAGAGTCTCCCTATATTGCCCGGGCTGGTCTCAAACTTCTGGGCTCAAGGGATCCTCCTGCCTGGGCCTCCCAAAATGCTGGGATCGTGGGTGTGAACCGCCTGGCCTGGACTTCTTTTTTTTTCTTTTTTTTGAGACAGAGTCTCACTCTTCTGCCTGGGCTAGAGTGAGTGCCGTGGCGTCAGCCTAGCTCACAGCAACCTCAAACTCCTGGGATCGTCCTGCCTCGGCCTCCCGAGTAGCTGGGACTACAGGCACGCGCCACCATGCCCGGCTAGTTTTTTCTATGTATTTTTAGTTGTCCAATTAATTTCTTTCTATTTTTAGTAGAGACAAGGTCTCGCTCTTGCTCAGGCTGGTTTCGAACTCCTGAGCTCAAACAATCCGCCCACCTCGGCCTCCCGGAGTGCTGGGATTACAGGCGTGAGCCACCACGCCCGGCGGCCTTCTTTATTTTTTCAAAAGCATGCCTCCTCCTCCTCCTCCCTCAGGCCTCAGCCCCTCAGCCCCCTTCCTCTCCCAGCTCTCCTCTCCGAAATTTCTTCCTCTGTCCCCGCCCTCCCTGAATTCACCTGTTTGTACTCTGTCCCCCTCCCTCAAGAGCTTGTTTGCTCATGGGCAAAAGGAAGATAATAGAGTGACTTTTCTCACTTGTTCTGACCAGGCAGCTGTTGTATCTCAGAGCTTGCACCTTCGCGGGCACTCTGAACATGGCAGCTGTTTCTACTAGTCGTAGGGAGATGTCTGAGGTCCCCGGAGAAGTGCAGTTGGAGGCGGCTCAATAGAAGATCTGGGTGGGCCAGGGTTAGGGGGATATTTCAGGTGGTAGGTTCTGTACGGGGCAAAGGCAGGGAGGCTGGAAGAAGGAGTCTCGGGTGGGCCTGGCAGGAAGGGACCCAGGCTGGATCTTCTGCAGTTGGGCTGCTTCTCACCTGTCCCCACCCCAACCCCCATCCCTGAGCACGGAGCCCAGGCCTGACTCCAAGCCTGGGTCAGTGGGTGGGTGTTCAGGGAAGGCTTCCTGGAGGAGGTGGCATCTGAGCCCTGAGAGATGCATAAGTGGGGGGACTACACCGAGTGCATGTCCAGAGAGGACAGCAGGGCTAGCCCAGCCACAAAAGTCTTCCCTGCCTGTGCCACAGTGTCCTCGTTCCACGCAGAGCAGGTGCTTGGCACCCGGCTTCCCTCCCCCTCCCACCTAGCCCCTGCCCAGCTTCCCCGGGGCGTGCGGCATCCAGTACAAGACCAGCAGGGAAACCGGTTCTCAGCAGCCATGCCTCCTGCCAGGCCGGGCCCTGTGCCCACCTGAGGTTCCCAGTAGCTGGGCCAGGGTGAGAGCCCCAGGTGGGGAAGGGGCAGGCAACCCTGTCAATGCCAGAGCACTGTGCAAAGAGCTTTACAGAGAACATACCCGACACTCTCTGTGAAGCTTTACAGAGGTGCACTTACAATCCTGATTCTATAGATGAGCCCAGAGTGGTGCAGTGAGCTGCTCAAAGCCACACAGCAACGAAGTGGAGAAGGGGGTGGGGCACTTTTGAAGCCAGCTCTGCCTGCAATGATACCTACTTAACAAATAAGAAAACTTGGTCCCAGCAGCATTGTGAGCAGTTTCCTGGGACACGGGACTTCTGGGGATAACGCCGGGACAGTCCCGAACAAACAGGTCACCCTAGCAAGAGGTGAGGTGACTTGCCTGAAACACAGCTACGAGGAGAGCCCTGATGCCAGCACCCACCTGTCCAAGACACCATCCCCTGTCCTAGACCCGGTAGGAAGGACCTCAGGGGATGCAGGGGCTCACGCCTGCAATCCCAGCACTCTGGGAGGCTGAGGAGGGAGGATCCCTTGAGCTCAGGAGTTTAAGATCGGCCTGGGCAACATAGTGAGACCCCGTCTCTACAAAAAATAGAAAAATCAGCTGGGTGTGGTGGTGGCACGTGCATGTAGTCCCAGCTACTCAGGAGGCTGAGGCAGGAGGATCGCTTGAGCCCAGGAGTGTGAGGTTGCTGTGAGCTAGGCTGACGCCACGGCACTCTAGCCTGGGTGACGGAGTGGGTCTCTGTCTCAAAGAAAAAAAAAAAAAAGTCTGATCCTGCAATAGCCCTATGAGGTGGGTCCTCTTCATTCCTCTTTGCTATATGAGGAAACTAAGCGCAGAGAGGTTAGGGCACTGTCCCAAAGTCACCTTCCTATGAGCAGCTAGAACTAGAACCCAGGCGCCGTGTGGGCTCTCCTGCAGAGCGATGCATCTGCCTTTAATTCTCCACTTTCGAGACGCAGAAGAGGAGTATCAGGGAGGTGGCTCAGCTTGCGCAAGGTCCTGGCAGCGAGTCAGTCCGTGGCCCGCTATCGGCTCTGGTGGAGAATGGGCAGAAGCAGCGGCCCCAAGGAAGGAAGCCCGCCCGGCATCTGTCCCGGTGAAGATACAGGCTTGGGGGCTGGGCGGCAGAGGCAGGAGGCTGGAGACAGGCGGGGCCGAGGCTCCCAGACCCGGAGTATGAACTGGACGTGAGACAGACCTAACTAACCCCTCCTCCTTGTGGCACCCTGGGCCGGACCCGACTTCCTGATCTGCAGCAGGCCGGGGCATCCTCCGGAAATGAGAGGCCAGGGAGGGGCTGGCAGAGCGGGGGAGGGGCTGGGGTGCAGGGCACAGGCAGGGGCTGCAAGGGCTCAAGATCTTAGGACCTCTGGGGTCCCTGCCTTGTGCCCCGCAACCCCGGAGGAGTGGGAGATGCTCTTTGAGCAGAGGCCTGGTGTTTCTCGGTGCTTTCCAGCCCAGGCATCCCCTGGGTGGCTCAGAGGGTGGGGGCTTCCCTGGAGGAAAGGACCCTGGGGAATGTGTCCAAGTCTTTGCATGGTAGCGCCCTTCTCTCGAAGTGTGTGTGCACACGTGTGCATTGACCAGGAAAAAAAAAAAAATCAACCCAGCCCAAAGCCTCCCAGCACCTAGATTCAGGCAGGGGTAGAAGGAAGGGGCTGAGGGAGGAAGAGGCTTTCCAGAGCGAGGGCATTGATGTTCAACCTCAAAGGGCAGGCGTGTGCCAGGGGCAGTGAGGCAGTTAAGCAAAGCAGACTGCAGCGCAGCCGCAAAGACCTGTGAGTTTGAAGTTGCGTGTTCCAGGCCAGGGGTTAATGGTGTAAGAAGCAGAGACAGTAGGTAGCTATCAGGAGTCACCTTAAAAGACTTCCATCTCATCCTGGGGGCAATAGGGAGGTATGGAAGAGTTTAGAGCAGAGAGAGAGAGAGAGAGAGAGAGAGAGAGAGAGACATGGTCTTACTTATGTGGCCAAGATATCCCCCAGCTGTTGTCTATAAGAGGGAACAGGGAACAGGGACAGGTAGGGGATGTCCCCCAGGGCAGAGTGGCTAAGGCCTGAATAGGGCAGAGGGGTAGAAGGAAGATGGGAGAATTTTTTTTAATTTTAAGAACTTTTTTTCAAGTATAGTCCACCCAGAGGGGGAAAAAAATGCATAAGTCACAAATGTTCAGCTAGAAGAATTTTCCCCACGTGAATGTACTATGTGGCCAGCACCTAGATCAAGGACTGAACATCACCAGCCCCTATAAGTCTCGTTGTACCCTTTTCCTGCTACTCTCCATAAAGGGTAACCCCTCTCTTGACTTATTTATTTATTTTTTTTGAGATGGGGTCTTGCTATGGTGTCCAGGCTGGGCTCCAAATCCTGGGCTCAAGCGATTCTCCCACTTCAGCCTCGCGAGTAACTGGGACTACAGGCATGGGCAGCACCACGCCCGGTTCTTACCTTGACATTTCACAGCCTAGAATCACTTCATCTGTTATTCGAACATTACGTAAATGGAAGAAACAGGATATTTTCTTTATGTACGACTTCTTTCTTACCACATTACATTTG